GTAAGCAGTTTCATCCAATTTGACCTCAAGCCTTTCCATTCCTAATGGAGGAGCAATCGTGATGGTATTTTTCTTGTTCACAGAGTGGCAGATTAATGAAACTTTGGGTAACTTCAAACTTCTAGCTAGACAAAAGGGACTTTTGTATACAAGATGGTATGATTTTTAGATATTTCATGTGACCTCTCCATTCTTTAAGGCCATATGAGAATTTTTCTTAAGGTGAAACAGTGCACTAACTCCTTGATGTCACTGAGTTTGCAAACTGTTTTTGTTCATTTTGAATAATGAATAAGCCTCACAAGTTAATAGTAATAAAGAAGACAGGTTTTCTTACTCTCATTTTAATGATGAGATAAAGGTACAGCTGAAAGGGATTATATAACTTTCTCAAGCTCTCATGACAAACAGATGACAAAGCTAAATTTTCCCACATGATGTCGTATTGGTTGAGAAATGTATCCTTATTTAAAATATGACATCAGTAAGTCATATGCTTTATGGAGCACCCATGCCAGCAGTAACATTACTGAGCCCTATACGAGGCACATGGCAAAGTGGTCTGAAAATTGGCTAGGGCCCTAGCATTCGTTTACACAGCATTCAAAGCAAAATTAATTTTGAGTCAAGCAAGTGGAACTGCAGAATTTGAGGGGGTGAAAAATGAATTGTCTGTGTTCACTTCTTTTTTTATCCTCTCATTTTCTTTAGTTGATGTTCTTCTCAGATGCCAGAGACCAGTCATGGTTGCCAGATGACTGGGCTCTGCTGGCTCATCAAGGGGCTGTGGCAGTGCTTGTTTCCAGGAGAGTTGGAAGAAAAGATGCAATGGAAAAAGCACACGCAGTCATCTGTAAGTAGCTGCCTGGGTAGTTCTCAGTGCCCTGTGTTCCTCTAAATGTGAACTTAGTCTGATAACTCGTAGAACTGGAACTTTGTGAGTGCAAAGTACAGTGCATGCAAGCTGAGCTGCAATGTTAGTGAGCAGTGGCAGAGTGCTTTGGTTAACGTATATACACCCAGGTTTGTAGGGATAATCTGTGCAATTTGACTTTGGTCGGTTTGATTCCAAGAGAACTGGATGTTCCTGGGAAAAGACAAAAGTGCCTTATTTCTGAAGATATTGTAACCATTTAGGTACTTAGAGATGTGGTTTTCTTTTTTTTATACTAAATTTGGGTGATCAGACAGCTGGTCCTAAAAATCATATAATCTGCCATGAATTTTGATGATGGGCTCTGTTCTTAGAGCTGTAGTTTCAGTGAAGCCCATTTTCATGGTGTCACTTAGAAGTATGATTAATATGATAAGCCATCAAGGTCCCTTAAAAACAAAGTCTATAAAGGAGTTACCGAAGTGATACCTACGAAGTCAAAGCAAGAAGTGCCCATACCTGATCTTCGTAATGACTATCATGTTTATGTTGATGTGAGCTCTAATTCAACTTGGTGTTTTCTCATGGCTTCTCTAGTGCTAGATCTGACATGAATAACTTGGCTGCAATAATTATAATCAAATGGAGAATAAACTATATACAGCTGTGTCTTATAGCCATGCAGTTTCTTTAGGTTGTTGATAATGTGTTTTTTTCCATAGTAATAAAAAAAATCATTCTTTTTATCAGTTTTTAAATATTCATACTTAGCTCTTAATTTATGTGGCCTAATTTCCCAATCACTTTCACTGCCTTGGTTCTGTTTTTAGTGCATAATATTTTTCTGGGGGAGCAATTCTAGTCCTAAATTACTGTCAGCAAAGATTAGAAGCAGTAGTCAGAAGTGTTCTACTCCTTTGAACGACTATGTGAAACTATATCTCTGCCCCGCCCCCAATGAGTTTTACATTGTGACACCTCTGATCAATGTGGGGTTGCTGTGGGACTGAAGAAGAGGCTGTGCAAGGACTGCTGTGACTGGAGAGGTACTTTTTACTTCCTTTGTGCCTAAACTGCAGCATCTGTTCCACACCTAGAAGTGAACAGCTTGTTTTCCAATCAAAATGGATTCTTCTGTAATTCGACCTTTTTTGGAAATTAGGTACACTTTCCAACATACATGTTTGGAGGCCCGTGGGTATTTGAACCATTTCCTAGTCTACTTTCCCAGACATAAAAGATAACCATGTATAAAATAAGTGGAATGAAAATGTCAAGGTGTTTGGGTGGGTTCTTTCTGCAGAAAATATATTTGCTTATTTCAGGTTCTCTATAAAGACTTTAAAATAAGTAAGAGAAAGTCTAAAAGCACCTCTTCAGAACTGAAATCATTTATGTCTGATGGTATAAATAGAACCTTCTAGAGTAGAAGCCAATGAGCCAACTCAGATACCACTGCCTCTATGAAGCTGTTTTCAATGTTCTTGTGAAGGGAAAGTGGTTTGCCCTGCTCTGCTTTTCCAAAGCACTTTCCACTTCCATAAAAGCACTTATCTCATATCTCAATCTTCCTTGAATTATATTTTTTCATTTGTGTCACGATCCACCATTGAAATCAAGGTAGGGATTTTGTCTTATTCATTTTATATTCCCCAACCGCCACATGAGACCTTTGAATGTAGCTGTAGATCAAGAAGCCACTCCAGCCCACTTGGTTTCCTCCACTAAGAAGGTCTGTTCACTCCCTCATCTCTGCTAGGATTATGTGCTCTTAAAGCACTATTCACACACACTATTCCGTTGACTTGTTTATATAGCTATTTCTTCTATTAGACTGCAGATTCCATGGGGACGTGACTATGCCCTCTGTCTGTATTTCCCCAGGGCCTACCATAGGGCTGGGGACACAGAGAATACTCATTAAATTTCTACTGAATGAATGTTGGACTTACTCAGTGAACAGTGGCCTTGAGTTATGTGAATAGAAAGGATAGGGACCCATTCTCCAAAGTTAGCTGTACTGCATAATAATAGTAAGGAATAAATAACAATTGCACATGACGGTACATATACATGCTTTAGTGCTTTTTAGCCCTGATAAAGTACCAAAGAAGTACCATAAGTACCAAAGAAGTATTTGGCTTATGTTCATATCATCATGACAGGAAGGATTTGTTGCTTTTAATTCTTACTTTAAAACCCAGAGATGGTAATCTATCGTCTCTTAGATGCTTAAATAGAATTGATTGTTAAATAGAATTGATTTTCTCTGATCTGTAACCAGATTTAGACTTGGATTTGAGTTTTCATTGTGTCTACTGATAGAGTTGCCTCTTACTTAGCCTGCCTCCCGAGGAGTGTCAGCTCCTGAAGTGCAGGAGCCTTGCTCTTATCTCCGGGTTCCTAGCGTAGAGCCTGGAGAGTATGGTGGATGATCAGTACACATCTACTGAATTGAATGTAAAATGAATGTATGACCGAATTAGAAAAACCTATACAAATTCTTTATCTAAACTTTAAAGTGAAAGTTTTTTCTACTGCTTGGGAAGAATCACTGGGGCCAAGTGGTTTTTAAGAGAGATGTTGAAACCTTGTGAAGATAGTGGTATTTACAAGCTAGAATATAGGTCTGGTGTTGGTTGTTCCCAGATTCTTCATTTAAAAGATTAAGCTTCATTCTTTTAGAAGCTTAATCCTATTTGTTTCTCTATCTCCGTTTTAGATTCTTACCTAGAGAAAAAGACTTTCAGAAAAGGTAACGTGAGGCGAAATCAATTAGATCACAAGAGTAAAGTTTGTCAGCAATCAAATTTTCTGTAACTTTCAGGTTGAATCTGATAGAAGTGCAGGTTTTATTAAGAAAGGGTTTAGAGATCCTGCTCTGGATCTCTATTCTCACATGAAATAAACTTGGTATTACATACATAGTTCTTAATAAGTTATTCCCTTATCTTAAGCAGCATTGAATAATTTTAATTTAAACGCTTAACCTAGTTTTGGTGACCCTCTAATTTTTAAAGTTAATATGTCATTGAAATAAATTTTTCTTTACTCCTGAGGTAACTTCTTAGAGATGGAAAAGTATCTAGTCTTTTCCACTTTTTGTAAGGTATTTTATAAACTAAGCCACTTGCAGTATTATTTACTACTTTCTATCTTTCTTTTAATATCAAGGGCTCTGGTCTGGCTTCTGGAGGAATGCACTGTGATTGAGAAAGCCACACAATGATTTAGCTGCAGGAGGCCTTAGAGATCATCCATTTTGAGCTCTTCATTTACAGATGAGAAAATAGAGGCTCTGAGATGTTAACTGACTTGCTTAAGATTACACAGCTAGTCCATGGTAGAGACTAAACTGGAACCTAAGTCTTTTGACAGCTTGTCCAAGACTCTTTCTACTATGCCTTATGAATTTTCCTTATCTAGTGAGGCAAGATGCTCACTTCTAGGCACTTATTGCTGAAAGTGGCTATCAGAGTTCTATGAGTTGAGAGTTTTGGGTGGCAACACAGAGCTAAAATGTAAAGACTTAAATTCATTACATTATTCTTTAACTAGAGAGCTAGATACAAGGTTCAGTGTAGATGCCCTAGGGGAACAGCTATGAGGTGCCTCTCAATGAGGGAAGTGAGGATTTCCTTCAGAGAGTTAAACTAGACATCAATAAGTACTGGATCACAGTGGATATTTACACAATCGCCTTAGAGTATGATGCCAAAGCAAAAAAGACAACTGCAAAACTAAATAGCATGTATTGACATCCCAAAGAAAGAGTGTGCCAGTCAGAAAATATGTTGGTCAGCTATTGAAGCATAGACACAGTCAAATCATAAAGATTGCTTGTGCCTGCTTAAACATCATGAACTGCTATGGTTCTCAAACTTTAGTATGCTTCAGAATTAGCTGGACGGCTTTTAAAATACAGATTGCTCGGCCCTATCCCCCAAATCTTATGGCCTAAGAATTTGCATTTCGAGTAAGTTCCTAGATGACACTGATGCTGGTTGGGGAATGACATTTTGAGAATCACTGGTATAGAGGTGTATTAATTTTCTATTGCTGTGTATCAAATTACTCAATTGTAACAAATTTAGCAGCTTAAAACAACGCATATCTATGAGCTCACAGTTCTGTAGGTCAGAAATCCGGGACAGCAAGGCTGAGTTCTCTATTCAGGCTGAAATCAAGGTGGGCTGGCAACATTCTCATCTGGAGTTCAGGGTCTTTTTCCAAGCTCATTCCTGTGATTGGCGGAATTCACTCCCTTGCAGCTATAGGACTGAAGTCCTGTTTTCTTGCTACCAACTCTAACAAGAGTTGAGGACTGCTCTCAGCTCCTGGAGGTCGCTCTCAGGTCCATAGAGGCTGCCTTTAAGGGAGAAAATATGCCAATCTGTCTGACTCAAGTGTTCCTGGTCTTTGTAGTAACTGAATTTCTCTCAGGAGATTAATAAATCAGTATTCTGATCAGATACATCAGCCCCTGTGAACTTATTTAATGTGGATCTCCTCTTAGTATAAGGTTTCATTCTTACTGTGTTTAATAGATTGAATTTTGAGACTGATTCACTGAGATTCAGATCATGGATGAAGATAAACTTAACAAGTTGAAAACCATGTTGGGTTGCAGACTGGACAGCCAGCCTGCCCTCCTAGGCATCATTCTTCTCTATTGCTTTCCAATGGTACTTGTTCTTCAAACTCCTCATCATATAGCACATCCTAGATTGAAGCCATGATTAAAATTAAAATGGAAAAGTTCTCAGAAATTCAAACAAAATATCCAGTGGTGTTTCTTTAGCCAATCTCCCCAAACTCTCTTCATGTGGGAATTGATTCTTTTACTGAAGCCTTGAGATCTTTGAGCAATATAAAGTTTCTTAACTGAAGTGGGATCCTGAAAATAAAATTATAAAAGGTGAAACAGTGGCAGCTTCACTTCATTTCCCATGAGAATTCCTGTAACCATCAGGGAGATGTGCAAGGCAGTTGCAGATGGTTGAGAGTTAACAAATAAGGCTTTGTGATCTACTGGTTTTTAATGCTTGGTCTATATGCCTGGTTGTGCATGTGTGTGTGTTTTTTACTTCTATTTGCCAAATTTTGTTTCTTTATACCTTAGGAAAAGTCTAGCTTTATTTTTTTGAGTAGCAAGGGCCCAGAGGTCCTTTATACAAATTTAATTAGCTGATTCCTTTATATCACTCAAGGATCCAAATATAGAATTCCTAATTTCCTTTAGTAAAGATCAATAATCAGGATTATTCTTAGTTCTTTCCTTTGTCAGATCAGGATAGTCTCACATTGTCAGAGAATAAAACTCAGTCTCTATTTGAGTTCATTCCTAAAGTCAGGGACAACCATCCATATCAGAACACTGGTTTATAGTAAACCTTTGTAGACTAAATTGAAATGAGCTACAAAAATCTAACAAGCTGAAATGTTACTTAGATTTTAAAAAGTCAACTGTGTAATTTAGGGCAGGAAATATTTGACTTTATAGAAGTTAATAAGAAAAAGGCTTAAAATTTTAGTTGCCTATAAACTCAAAATCTGCCATCAGTCTTATACACTTGTTACGTGGACTTTGTAGCTGTATTAACATAAGCACACGTCTAGATCAGAGATGGACATATTTTCCTTCTCTCTGTTCTGGTTAGACCACCTTTTGTTTAACTGTTCAGAAAGATTTTCATAAATGATTTTACGGAGTCGGGCTCAGTAAGATTAGAGATTGGAAGTCGAGTCACTGGAAGTAGTACAGTTCATCCAACTGGGATTACTTAGCATAAAAAAAGAGAGAACTTTTGGGGTTTCATTGCGTAGACTAGCTAGTTAACTTAATAACAAACCTCATTGCAAGAGTATCAAGGAGCTTACGGAGTCAAGGAGAAGGTGGAAGAATCAAGCTTAGAAAGGACAGGGGCCAGAGCAACTTAAGAGGTCCCAGTAAACCTGGTGGTCGTATTCTTCAGGGCTCCACTGCCAGAGTGATCATGCTGCAGCACCTTTCAGCTTTTTTGTCAAGACTCAAACCCAGGGAGTCTAGCATGGGCCATATGCTCATTCTTTGGCTAAAGGAAGGCAGGACACCGTGACTCACAGTCTCACCAGGCTACATTCAGTAAGGCACAGGCAATTTCCCCCAAAGAACTGGGGTGCTATTATTAAAATAATGAGGAATTGTATGCCATGCAGTCAAAAAGTAACAGATGTCCACAGCAGGTTACGTGATCATGATCTTTGAACACGTGGAAAAGAGGTGAGACTTGGTACGGATGTAGGGCAATGGTTAGAATGTCAACCGTTACATTACTGTGTTTCAGCTTGAGGAAGAACATCCTAACAATTACAGCTGTTAACAGGCTGCGTTGTGAGATTATGGACCTCCTATTTTTATTAGGATTCTTTTGGTTGCATGTAACAGAAATTTGACTTGCAGTAGCTTGGTAAAAAGAGAAAATTATTAGAAAATACTAAGAATATTTCATGTGAACAAAGAAAGGATTGACCAGCCAAACTGTGGGAAGGGCAGACATACCAATGGGCCTCAGAAAAAAACTAGAAGCAGGGACTCGAATGCAGCTGGCCCTATTTCTCTTTCTTTTGTCTCTGCTTCCGAGTATTGGCTTCATTTTCTTTCTCTGCAGACTCTCTCTCGTGTACATCATATGAAATGTGGTTGCTAAGAGTGCCTGAGTTTCACCTCCCACAATTTTGCAGAGAAACTGTCTCTATCACATTTAGTGAGAAAAATCTTGGGAAAAGGCTCTGGTCCATTGTGGGCCAGGAGTCCAACTCTAAGCAAATGAACCATGGCTAAGAGGTAGGACACTCAATTTGGTTCAGTTGCCTTCTCTGGACTGAACTAGGGTATGGGGAAAAATTGGCCCTTGGTAGAACCAGAACTGAGAAAAGCAGTTCACAGAAGAAAGAGGGATGCTTTTGTCAGAAGGGAATGTGGTGGGCAGGCAAAACAATGGGTCTATTACTCTGTCACTGTATGTGTTCAGACAAAGGTGGGACCAGTCAGAGATATTATAGAAAGGATTCTTATGTTGGTGGGAATTTGAACTGGAAGACCCAAGTTCTTCCCAACTTGGAGATGCAAAGATTCTAGCTGCTTTCTAGGTAAGGCAGGCACATATTGGTTTTGGGTTATATCTGAAATTTTCTTTTTCTGTGTATTTCAACTCAAGGGTTACTTTGGTTGAAAACCAGGGAATATTTATCCTGCTATTTTTTGGAGTTTGAGAATGGAGGAAAAATTTTATTATTTAAAAATGAATGTCTTGTGGAGGAGGAGTCTTGTATACTTACAGGAAAAATGGAAACTAGGGACTTAAAATCATATAGGTTACCTTCAAAGGGATAGAACACTTAAATCTAAATAATTTGTTTTAAGATGATTTGGGGTTTTTGTAACTTTTTATTTTGAAATAATTATAAATTCACAGGAAGGTGCAAAGAAATGTCCCAGGAGGTCTCGTGTACCCTTCACCCAGCCTCCCCTAATGTTAACATCTTGCATGACTCTAGTACAGTATCAAAACCAGGAAACTTATATTGGTATAATCCATAGAACTTACTCAGTTTTCACCAGTTATATATGTACTCATTTGTGTGTGTGTGTGTTTGTGTGTGTGTAACTCTATGCAGTTTAATCATGTGTAGCTTTGTGTAACCACCCCTACCATCAAAATACTTAACTGTACCATTACTGCAAGACCTATAGCCACACTCCACCATCCCCCATTCCCTAGCTTCTGGTAACCACTAATCTCTTCTCCATATCTATAATTATATTATTTCACAAATGTTTTACAAATGGAATCATGCAGTATGTCTTCTTTTGAGATTGACCTTTTTCACTCAGCATAACTTCCTTAAGGTTCATCCGAGTTGTTGTGTGGATATATAATTCATTCCTTTTTATTGCTAAGTATTATTCTGTGGTATGGATGTACCATGGTTTGTTTAACCATTCACCCTTTTAAGGGTGTTCGGATAGTTTCCAGTTTGGGGCTATTATGAATAAAGCTGCTGTGAACATTCATGGACACGTTCCTAAGTGAAAATAAGTATTCATTTCTCTAGGATATGTCTCTAAGAGTACAGTCCTTGGTTGTATGATAAATCTATTTTTATTTTTAAAAGATACTTCAAGCTATTTCCAGAGTGGCTGTTCCATTTTAGATTCCCACCAGCAATGTATGAGTAATCTAGTTTCTTGACATCCTTTTCAGCATTTGGTGTTACCACTAATTTTTATTTTAGCCATTTTGATAGGTATGTAGTAATATATCCTTGTGGTTTTAATTTATGTTTTTATAATGGCTAATGAACTTGAGTATCTTTTCATGTGTTTACTTGCCATCTGTGTATCTTCTTTGGTGAAATATCTGCATATCATTTTGCTCATTATCTAATTGGATTTTTTATTTTTTAAATGTTCAGTTTTGAAAAGTTCTTTTCATGGTCTAGATACAAGTCCTTTGTCGGATACGTAGCTTACAAATATTTTCTCCCAGGCTGTAAATGTTCTTTTCACTCTCTTAACAGGGTCTTTTGGAGAGTGCAGGTTTCAAATTTTGATGACGATGATTCTGTTTTTAAGTAAGGAAGGAATAGATTTTGCATATTTTTGATTGATCTAAAGAATTTTAAATTGCCAGATTATCTGCTCGACTTTCTCCTTTTTCAGCTCAGACTTGGTTAAATTTAAGATGAAAATCATTCAGTATACAATGTTCAAGAGTACTGGGGTGCCTGTGCATTTGACTCTATTCTAACACTGATGTTTCTCTTTAGTGGTGTTTTAACTAATGAAGAAAAAGAAAATCTAGCTGTTTAAGGAGGCAGTTTCCCTTTGAGTTTCAGCAAAATTTCCTTATGGACTGGAAGGAGGACATGGGATTCTACTTGTACTACTGACTTTTGCAAGTAAAGACACCTCACATTACCAATATTTTTCTCTCCACACAGTCCCAAACGTGCCAGACGATGCGGCAACATTCCATGTTGCTTTGTTTATACACATTAGCTTTTGGCTTCTTTTGGCAGTCCATTTGTTCATTCCACAAATACTGCACACCTACTAGTGTGTCAGGATTGTGCTAGGCTCAGGGTTGTAAGGGGAACAGGATGCACATAAGTGCTGCCCTCATGAAGCTTACGTTTTTGTTCTTATTTCTTATTTTTATAGGTTTGTGTTGCCTGTGACTGTTTCACTGATTCAATTAAATATCCTTAATTCCCATTTCTTGTTACAGAATCTTTCTCATTCATCCCAGCTGCAGTGCGTCTAAATCTCAGTGAATGGTTTTAATGGTTTGGGAGTGGCTGCATTCCATTAAAATGAAAACCAAGCCAAGCAAGTAATATTTGCAAGCATACACATGAGAAGATGTTATGAGGAGGAAAATCCTCATATTTAGTTACTTTCTTTCCAATTAGGGGAATTTTTGGCAGAGCCTTAAGTTACCTTAAGAGTGCTTGAGGCTTCTAAATACGAGATCTCAAAGGCTGCAGTTAACCTTATTCTATAAAATGAAGCCCAGCCATTGGAATGAGCCAGTTAATCAAATGCCTTTTGCATAGTCCATGTTTTTAAAAATCCTGACCTTGTATCATTTATAAAAACTGTGATGCCATGTCAGTCTTATGGTATAAATGAGACACTTTTTCTATCTGTAAACTGGCTGACCTGTTTATAATCTTGCTAAAATATATATAAAATTTAAGTCTGG